CTACATTGGGTGGAGGCCGGCCGTAAACCACGGTGGGAGGAAGTGTCAGGGTGCTGTCTTGCTTCCAAGGGACTGCTTGTGAAATATGATGCCCTTCGGGTGAAGAATGGGGTGCTACAGAGGGCCTGGACAGAGCCAGCCACTGAAGAGGAAAGGTGTCAGGTGGTGGTTCCCCGAGCACTAAGGGACTATATCCTCCAGGCCTGTCATGGAGCTGAAGGGACTGGTCACTTTGGGGTGGCAAAGACTCTCCGCCACATCCGGCAGGGGTTTTACTGGGGTCAGGAGGGATGTGGAGGATTTCTGCCGTCGCTGTGATCTCTGCACAGCACACAAGGATCCACCTCAGCAGTCTCATGCCGAGCTTCAGCAGGTAGCAGTGGGGGCCCCAATGGAAAGAGCGGTGGTGGACGTGGTGGGGCCGTTCCCCTGTACAGACAGGGGGAACCGTTATGTTTTAGTTGCCATGGACTACTTTACCAAGTTGCCAGAGGCCTATACCATTGCAGACCAGGAAGCAGAGACTGTTGTTGATATCCTGGTGGAGGGCATGTTCTCAAGGTTTCGTGCAGCAGAGACCATTCACAGTGACCAGGGAAGGAACTTTGTCAGCTGTGTTCTCTGCCATGTGCGAACGCCTGGTCATGCAAAAGACTCGGACCACCCCATTGCACCCCCAGAGCGATGGCTTGGTTGAGCGCTTCAACCGAACCATGGTGAAACAACTAGCCATTCTCACGGCAGAGCACCAACGGGACTGGGACATGCACCCCCCCCCCCCCCCCCCCCCTCATCTTGTTGGCCTACAGGTCTGCCGAACACGATTCCACCCAATGCACACCTGCACTGCTCATGTTGGGACGAGAACTGCGCACCCCTCTGGTGATGACCTTTGGGAGACCCCCTGACACCCTCGCTGTTCCTCCAGGCCCAGAATACGTCAGGAGGCTTCAGGACAGGATGGGCTCAGCTCATGCCTTTGCCCGAGACCAGCTGCAAAACGCAGGCATGAGACAGAAGAGGAGTTACGACGTGCAATGCACTGATTGGCAGTGATTTTTAAGGCGTCATTAATTCTGTCCAGCAGAATTCTTTCCAAGACTTTTGAGAGAGTGCTAGCCAGAGCAATAGGCCTATAGATATTCATGCTACCACCTCTCCCACTGCATCTATTACTCCAATTTTTAAAAAACCCGGCACTGATCCCAATAATTTCAATAATCTTTGTCCCATCTCAAATCTTCCCTCTAAAAAATACTAGAAAAAATAATCTCTGTTCAACTCCATGCTCATCTCACGCTCAATAGCCTCTATGAGCCCTTCCAGTTTGGTTTTCGCCCTGGTCACAGTACAGAAACTGCACTCATAAAAATCACTGCTGCCAATACTGGACTGCTTTCCATCCTCCTCGACTTGAGTTCGGCCTTCGATCCCATCTCTCACACCATCCTATTCCATAGATTGTCTTCCCTTGGCATTTCTCATACCCTGCTTTAATGGTTCCGTTCATATCTCTCTGGCCGTACTCGGTTTATTCAACTCAAATCCTTCACTTCCCGTCCCTTCCCTGTCACTACCGGCATCCAAGGCTCTGTTCTCGGTCCATTCCTTTTCATCGCTTACCTTCTTCCCCTGGGAAATATTTTCCGTAAATCTGACATCCATTTTCATTGTTACGCGGATGACACCAAGCTCTATGTATCCTCCGAACTTTCTTCACTCCCTCCTTCCTCCCTCACCAATTGTTTATCTGAAATCAAAGACTGCTTCACATCAAACTTTCTCAAACTTAACAGTGATAAAACAGAAATGTTACTTGTCGGCACTAAATCTTTACTATCCAAAATCCACAGCTTTACACTTCCTGTCGGCAACTCCTTAGTTTCCCCCTTCCCTCTGGTCAAGATTATGGGTGTCATCCTCGCCTCCTCACTATCCTTCCAGTCCCACATAAACAATATTACCCGGTCTACCTACTTCCATCTACGTAACATTAACCGCCTACGCCCCTCCCTCACTACTCACTCGGTCGCCATCCTTGTCCACAGCCTCATCACTTCCCGTATTGACTACTGCAACTCTCTTCTCTTCGGTCTTCCTCACAAATCCCTCCATAAACTCCAACTTCTCCAGAACTTGGCAGCCCGCATCATTACCAGAACTCCCTCCTTCCACCACATCACCCCTGTTCTTCAGCAGCTCCACTGGCTCCCAGAATCCAATTCAAAATTCTGCTATATATATTCAAAGCCATCCTTAACCTAGCTCCCCCGTACCTCTCAGACTTCCTTCATCCTTCAACCTCCACCCGTTCCCTCAGGTCCTCCTCCTCCATCCACCTCTCTGTCCCACCTTTCCGTCTGGTCACTATGGGGAGCAGGGCCTTCAGTCGCTCTGCTCCCCAGCTCTGGAACTCCCTCCCTCCTGACCTCCGTAACATTGACTCCCTCACTCTCTTTAAAACCAGACTCAAAACCCACCTGTTCCGTCTAGCATTCCAATAATTACTCTCTTTGCTCCAATCTGTCTGTTTGTTTTACGCCATTCTATCTTTTATTGTTGTGTATTTTATCTCTGTCTGTAAAGTGTCCTTCAGTGTTTAGAAAGGCGCTGTTGAAATAAAATGTATTAGTACGTACGGGTCGGCAGTAATCCAGTTTAACATATGCCTTTGTGAATTATATACTACAACGGCTTGCCATGCATCCTGCTCCTGTGTGACTCGTATCTGCAGCGCTTCTGATCCATAGCGCTGCAGGATGCAGAATAAACAGGATGGTGGGGACTTTTTATTCGATTGTAGAGTTTAGTCTTTCTTAGTTTTACGACCATCATATATTTTTCTGTGCACCACTTGATCGTGAGACTGCTACCCATTAGCTTTAGCATTAGCCATTCTGCGTGTAGCTGCACTTTTGATCCCAAACTTTGGACCGGTTCTGCCTTTGCTGGTTCCTGTATTTTCCTCCACTGCATCCAGATGACCACACTGTGCGCCAGTAAAAAGCATTTTTCTTACACGTAACTTACTTTTGTTCAATAAAGTTCCAGAGAAAATAGCAATTCAAAGATGTTGCACCAGTGCTATGTTTAAAAGTAGACAGACATGCACAGACAGTTGTTTTTGTCAAACTGTACAGCCCTGCTCTGATATGGAAGAGCCTCTGGGAAAATCAGGATGTCAATAGCACCAACCACAGATATGTACCAACTAGCGAGAAAAGCTATTTTTGATCTTCTTTTTCTGCACCGGTTTCAGTGCTTTTCCATCGCCCCTGTAGTGGGGCAACGCTGCAACTACAGTTAAAGTAACATCCATATAGTTGGGGGCAGAGTGAAATCAGGCTGGGGCGGCACTAAAATAACTGGAGGCAGCCGCCACGCAAATTTGAATGCAGGAAAAACCCTGAAAGCATAACTGTGGCCTACACATTTTTATCATACACAATTTGAGTCATCCGTTGCGTTTTTGTGTTGAAAATTTTTTTCAATAAAACTTTTAAATTAAATCAAAAGAACAATATTTTACCTTTTCCTATATTCACTAATCCAGTTGCTAAAGTAAGCCTAACTATTATAACATGTTGCACTGAAACTGGTCTTTTTGTTTGCACATCACCTGTCAAATTTACTGAGCTTTTTCATCTTTCAGCCAGTTGCTGAGGCAAACTAACTTGTTCACGTTTTCCGAAAGTAAAGCTGACCTTTTCTTGTTCACAATGTGACCTGCAACTGAGAAAAGTTGTTCACAGGGAACTGTGGTTGCAGGAGTGGCTAGATATCTCTGAGCTTGTGAGGCTATCTTCTCATAGGCGCCTGAATGAGATGCCCACCACCTCAAGGGGCAGTCCTCCAATTTAACGGTGGGCTCTGCTCTGTACCTGTGTATGACAGGTTGGACCTCTGCATCTTCTGATTTTGTATCTGAGCTCATTTGCAGAAGGCAGATTTTCATACCGGGTGGCCCATCATCATGTGTCTGTGAAGACTTTATGGGCAATTCTTGTTGCAGCATTCCTTCAAGTGTGGTCCACACCTCTTCCCTGTCTGTCTTGGGCAGGCATTTTAAGTCTTTGAAACGAGGATCCAATACTGTAGCGATCTGGAGCCATGCATTGTTGAGCTGTTCTTGACGGGATGCTAGCTCCTCCTTGAACTTGGTCTTGAATTGCACCACATATCCAGGGTCCTCATCACAGGCTTCCATCCATACGCAAGTGGCAGAGAGAAGGTAGTACCACAGAACAGGAGACTTACCCCCAAATTCCACTACCTCCGCTCCGCCCCCGCCTTCCGCAGCCACTCGCTTCCGAACTCAATTTTTACTAGTCTCCGCTCCGCTCCGGTGCGAAGACCCAAGGTGCGCAAACAAGCATGCGCGGGATTTTCATGTTCTCGCGATAGTCCGAAATAAATGCGGAAGTTTGAGCTAAACAAATTATTGTGTGGAAGAAGCTTGGAGAAGAACTGTTTAATCCGCCTATCATTTGAGTTAAGATATCAGCAAGTGTTTGGATCAACAATGGGTGAGTACTTTGATAGTAGAAACAATATTTATGGCTTATTTTTGTGCATTTAAAGTCCAACCACCATTGATAGTTGTTACAAGAAAACTTATATGTAATTGAACTAGATTGGAGCTTGTTTTTGTAGTCTAATGTGCATAATTGTTGTTGCAGAAGCACGTTAGCCGAAGAAGAACTTTAGCTCTCCTTTTGCTACTGGATTTGGTTCATCAGAGAAGATGGAGCAGATTCTGGGTGCACCCACTGAACCAACAAAGAAGAAGCCAAGGGGACTTCTACCATCTTGTTGCAGAGCTGCGACTGGACAGCCAGAGGCACCACCAGTACTTCCGCATGTCTGCAGAGAAGATGGATGAGCTTCTGTCCCTTGTTGGACCAGAGTTGAGAAGACAGTCTACATCCTTCAGAGCAGCTATTGAACCTAAACAACGACTAGCTGTTGGAATAAGGTGAACAGTTTGACTCATTCTCAAATGCAGAACTCAAATTTTATTTAACACAAACATTTCCAAAACAAGCACTTATAAAACAAAAAAATGTAAACATTTATAAAAAATGAAAGAAAACAAATAAACATTACCTCAAAAAGGAAAGGATAAATTGTCATAACCATGTAGCTATAAACATCAAACTGAAAACAGTAATATATAAAAAAAATTGGTCTAGGTAATAATCAAACACTCCAAGAAGTCAGTAGTACGGAAAAACAATGCCTATTCCTGAGGCTCATCGACGTCCCATTTATCAACCGCAGTAAGCAAGCCCATATATTCCCCAAACTGTCCTGCAGTTGAGGTAGATGGGACAAAGGCAGGATGAGTGGGGGTAGATGTCTGTGTAGGTTGTGACGGGGTGGGGGTTTGCATACTCGGCTGCTGCTGCTGGTATGAGGGACGGTGCTGCTGCTGGAGGCCCTGCTGCTGGTGGAGGCCCTGCTGCGGCAGCTGCTGGAGGCCCTGCAGCTGGTGGTGTTGCTGCTGCTGGTGGTGCTTCTGCTGGTGGAGGCCCTGCTGCGGCAGCTGGTGGTGGTGCTTCTGCTGGTGGAGGCCCTGCTGCGGCAGCTGACGGAGGCCCTGCAGCTGGTGGTGTTGCTGCTGCTGGTGCTGCTTCTGCTGGTGGAGGCCCTGCTGCGGCTGCTGATGGTGCTGGTGCTTGCGGAGGCCCTGCTACTTGTGGTGCTTATGCTGGTGGAGGCCCTGCTGCTGCTGGTTATGCTCAAGCTGCTGGTGATGTTGCATCAACTGCATAATGCCTACTTTAGCATTTTGCCTGTTGGTCATCTCCATTCCACTGAGGAGTGGAACAATACTGAGGGCGAAGTGGTAGCACTCATCAGTTGCCCCTTCTGGCATGTACGGGCGCTGCAGTGGCTCTTTCAGGAGCTCTATCAGCTTGTCCCCAAACTCCACCCCTTTAGATGCCCCACCTCTATATGCCTTCCTTGACTGGCCGGTAGGGGTTGGGGTCCGTTTCAATGGGCTACGCGACCGGTCTCTTGATGTGGCAGGTTCAGCAGCAGAAGCAGCAGCAGTGGAAGGGGTGGACTGTCTTGAAGGACCTGCTGCCTCATCTGGTCCAGACAGGCTCAAAGGAGTCTGAGGTTGGTCCTCCTCTGTGTCCATCTGGGATGCAGAGTCCAAGCTACTTCTTGAGCTGTGTGAAAAAGGATTTATTCTAGTAAAAACACAAGTAACCAAAACTTAAAATGGCAATCTAATAACTGAAATTGTTTGACAGAATAACAAATTTAAAAAAAATTACCTGGCCATTTGTGAATAAACAGGTTTGCATCAAATTACCTTCTTGGTTGCAGATATGGAATTAGAAAAGACATAATCTTTTCAAATTTCCACTCCTTTTGTGTCCCTGCAGCAGAGCCACTGGGTAGATCGGACTTTTTTCGGGACTTCACATAGCTGTCCCGAAGTGCCCTCCATTTGTTTTTACATTGATCACCTGAAAGAAGAATAAATTGAAAATCAGTCAAAAATAACACAATTCTTTGCTTTGTTCTTCTGCCTACAGGTTTTTGGCCTCCGGTGACTCCTTTGTCAGTCTGGCTTTCAGCTACCGTCTTGGCCAGACTACGGTCAGAAACTCTGTCCACATGGTGTGCGCTGCTATTGAGAAAGTGATGATGGGCCAATAGCTGCCACCCCCAACTGAAGAAATGTGGAAGACCGTTGCACAAGGCTTCTTGGAGAAATGGAATTTCCCTAACTGTCTGGGGGGTGTAGCGTTATTAAGATCCTATTGTCTGCCTTTAACAGCTGCCCCTTCACACAGTAACAGCGTGCATGAATCGCCAAGGTCGGGTGCTTGTTTCTGAATGTTTACATTCCAGGAAAGGAGACAGAAGAAAGAAGAAGAACGCTTTTCATTAATTAATCAAAGTACTTTATTTGTGATAAAGCTAATCAAAACATATGTTGATCTATAATAATCAGGTGACTGATCTGTGAAATCAAGATGTCATGATTTATGTGTTTAATGAATAAACAGGACTGTGCACCAGACATACTGATCCACAGAACATAGAAACGCATGACACATTGTTCTCATCCAATTAGAGCTTTCGTCTGTTGCAGGGCAGAATCTGGGTTGTTTATTTAAATTGTCCACTCCGATTTGCTAAGATTTATAAACAACTAAGTTAATAAAAACAGAGCAACGCCATTTTAACTTCAGTTCCATCTGAGTTCCAAAGGAGTTACATCATAAACTCAACGTAGTTTCAACCAGCTCTCAAATCATCATCGCTAAAGGAGATTACAGCCTGGCCAGCTGTGTTTTTCTACTTTTAAGCTGAGAACTGTTAAACTGGAATTTCTGTCGTTTGAACAACAAGACGACGGTTCCTTCACAACAAAAGCTGAACGCGCTGAGACCTGCCGCTACTGCCGGAGCTATCCGTAGACGGGTTTGTCGTGCTGCAACACTGTTTCATCAGTCCAGTAACAAGGGGGTTCGAGGACCTGACACTCCTGATCTGACCGCGGGAGACTCCATACGGTACGTAGTCACGGCACAAGATGGCGTTTCATGTCTTGAGCTTCTGAAGCCTCGTGCACCCTAGTCATAACATCAATCAGATCTGCCTGCCTCAGCCTAGAGATTCTGAACAAACACACACACACACACACACACACACACACACACACACACACACACACACACACACACACACACACACACACACACACACACACACACACACCAACATTCAAATCCATATGCATCCATCATAGAGAGTCCTGGTACATTGTTTGAATTTATAATTATAGAAATTAAAGATTCTTAAACGATCCCAACTCTCTCTTTTCTTGTCTCTAAGTCAATACAAAGTGTTTAAATAAAACTCCCTGAAGATAAAAACAACCTCTTCTGATTACAGTAATCCCTCGCTACTTCGCGGTTCGTTCATCGCGGATTCATTGCTTCGCGGATTTTTTCTTTGGAGCATTTTTCAGGGGGAATTCGCAGATTCGCGGTATTTTTCACTGATTCATGGTATTTTTCTATGCGAAATATCAAGAAATTCCTGTTTTTTTTTCATTAATTTCATCATAAAATGCACTTTTGTTAATTTGAAACTACGTAGCATGTAAGATGGGCTGTGATTTGTTCCATTGGTGATAGATGATGGATCAGCTCCCAAGTTTTGTAATGTCGCCTGTGATTGGACAGCTTCCCTGGTCTCGGAGCCTCGGGCATCTTCTCGCGGTCCTCGTTCACTTTGTCTCGCGCTCTCTCCATACGTAGATGTTTATATTAGCAGTGTGTGTTTGAACTTGAACAATGGCACCCAAGCGTTCTGCTTCTGCTAAGGCTGCTCATGAGCCTAAGGCTGCTACTGAGCCTAAACGCAAACGGAAAATGATGACGATTGCTGAGAAGGTGACACTTCTGGATATGTTAAATGAAGGCAGAAGTTACACGGCAGTAGCTCGCCATTTTGGAGTGAATGAGTCCACCGTTCGCTACATTAAGAAGGATGAGGCAAAGATTAGAAAGACGGCTAGCATCACCATTAGCAAGTCAGCAAAACGAGTTGTTACGGATCGTAATAAAGCGATCGTCAGTATGGAAGGTGCTTTGTCAATCTAGATTGCCGACTGTCGGAAGAAGCAAATACCCTTGGATACGAACACCATCCGAACCAAGGCTTTGGGCTTGTATGAGACTTTTGCTGCAAAGGAACCTCAAGATGATGGCGACCACGCTGAAGAAGAGGAGGAAGACGATGGAGAACATGAACCACAAGCAGGGACATCCACTGATCCCCCCCCCCCCCCCCCCCTCGGAAACCACGTTTTACCGCCAGCAAAGGATGGTTCGAGAGGTTTAAGAAACGCTTTAGCCTGAAAAGCGTTTCCCTGTGTGGCAAGGCAGCTTCTGCTGACACAGAAGCTGCTGATATTTACGCGAAAGAAACTTTCAAGAATATTATCGCCGAAGGTAGATACAAGCCAGAACAAGTCTTTAATATGGACGAGACGGGTTTGTTTTGGAAGAGAATGCCATCGCGAACTTTCCTGTTCAAAGAAGAAGCCAAAGCCTCTGGCTTTAAAGCATTCAAAGATCGTGTTACCCTCGTGATGTGTGGCAATGCTGCGGGATTTTTGCTAAGGCCAGGGCTTATTTATAGGGCAAAAAACCCTCGTGCTTAATAAAATAAAATAAGAATCTCCTTCCCGTGTATTGGATGCACAATCAAAAAGCATGGATGACGAAGCTGCTGGCCTCCAACTGGTTCCACCAGTGTTTTATCCCACAAGTCAGTAAATATCTCGCAGAGAAGGGCTTGCCTTTTAAGATCCTTCTCCTGATGGATAACGCTGGTGGACACGCGACTGATCTTTCGCATGAGGGCATTCAGGTTGAGTTCCTGCCACCCAATACAACGTCCTTAATTCAACCGATGGACCAGGGCGTTATCAGGGCGTTCAAGGCCCTCTACACGAAGAATACCTTGGAGGACCTTGTTGCGTGTATGGGTGACGCCCAAGAAGATGAAGATGAAACATTCAATTTGAAGGCGTACTGGCGACAGTACACAATTGCCTCGTGCCTTCAGAACATCCAGAAGTCACTGCAAGAAATGAAACCTGCTACCATTAACGCGAGCTGGAAGAAGTTGTGGTCCGAGGTTGTTTATGATGACGTGGGATTTACGCCTGTCGAGATTCAACACTCTTCGTCTTCGTCTTCCTCCGCTTATCCGGGTCCGGGTCGCGGGGGCAGCATCCCAATTAGGGAGCTCCAGGCCGTCCTCTCCCCGGCCTTGTCCACCAGCTCCTCCGGCAGGACCCCAAGGCGTTCCCGGACCAGATTGGAGATGTAACCTCTCCAACGTGTCCTGGGTCGACCCGGGGGCCTTCTGCCGGCAGGACATGCCCGAAACACCTCCCCGGGGAGGCGTCCAGGAGGCATCCTGACCAGATGCCCAAACCACCTCAACTGGCTCCTTTCGATCCGGAGGAGCAGCGGTTCTACTCCGAGTCCCTCCCGAATGTCCGAGCTCCTCACCCTATCTCTAAGGCTGAGCCCGGCCACCCTACGGAGGAAACTCATTTCGGCCGCTTGTATCCGCGATCTCGTTCTTTCGGTCATTACCCAAAGCTCATGACCATAGGTGAGGATTGGGACGTAGATCGACCGGTAAATCGAGAGCCTGGCTTTCTGGCTCAGCTCCCTCTTCCCCACGACAGATCGGCTCAGCGTCCGCATCACTGCAGACGCCGAACCAATCCGCCTGTCGATCTCCCGATCCCTCCTACCCTCACTCGTGAACAAGACCCCGAGATACTTAAACTCCTCCACTTGAGGTAGGACCTCTCCCCCGACCCGGAGGTGGCAAGCCACCCTTTTCCGGTCGAGAACCATGGTCTCAGATTTGGAGGTGCTGATCCTCATCCCAGCCGCTTCACATTCGGCCGCGAACCTACCCAGCAAGAGCTGAAGGTCAGAGCTGGATGAAGCTAGGAGGACCACATCATCCGCAAAAAGCAGAGACGAGATTCTCCTGCCACCAAACTCGACACACTCCACACCACGGCTGCGTCTAGAAATTCTGTCCATAAAAGTGATGAACAGAACCGGTGACAAAGGGCAGCCCTGGCTGAGTCCAACCCTCACTGGGAACAGGTCCGACTTACTACCGGCTATGCGGACCAAACTCACGCTCCTCTGGTAAAGGGACTGAATGGCCCTTAACAGAAAGCCACCCACCCCATACTCCTGGAGCGTCCCCCACAGGGTGCCCCTGGGGACACGGTCATAAGCCTTCTCCAAATCCACAAAGCACATGTGGATTGGTTGGGCAAACTCCCATGCCCCCTCCATCACCCTTGCAAGGGTATAGAGCTGGTCCACAGTTCCACGGCCAGGACGAAAACCACATTGCTACTCCTCTATCTGAGATTCAACTATCGATCGGACCCTCCTCTCCAGTACCTTGGCGTAGACCTTTCCAGGGAGGCTGAGGAGTGTGATCCCCCTATAGTTGGAACACACCCTCAGGTCACCCTTCTTAAAGATGGGGACCACCACCCCGGTCTGCCACTCCCTAGGAACTGCCCCCGATGACCACGCAATGTTGAAGAGACGTGTCAACCATGACAGCCCTACAACATCCATAGCCTTGAGATACCCAGGACGAACCTCATCCGCCCCCGGGGCTCCGCCGCTGTGTAGTTGTTTGACTACCTCAGCAACTTCTGCCCCCGAGATCGGACAGTCCATCCCCAGGCCTTCCAGCTCTGGTTCCTCCTCGGAATGCGCATTGGTGGGATTGAGGAGCTCCTCAAAGTATTCCTTCCACCGTCCGACTATAGCCTCAGCTGACGTCAGCAGCTCCCCATCCCCACTGTAAACAGTGTGAGCGAGTTGCTGCCTTCCTCTCCTGAGGCGCCGGACAGTTTGCCAGAACCTCTTTGGAGCCGATCGATAGTCTTTCTCCATGGCCTCACCAAACTCCTCCCACGCCCGAGATTTTGCCTCGGCAACTGCCACTGCTGCACCCCGCTTGGCTATCTGGTACCTGTCTGCTGCCTCCGGAGACCCACAGACCAGCCACGCCCTGTAGGCCTCCTTCTTCAGCCTGACGGCTCCCCGAACCTCTGGTGTTCACCAGCGGGTACGGGGGTTGCCACCACGACTGGCACCGGCCACCTTACGACCACAGCTAGCAACAGCCGCCTCGACAATCGCAGAGTGGAACAAGGCCCACTCGGACTCAATGTCCCCCACTGCTCTCGGGACGTGGTCAAAGCTCTGCCGGAGGTGGGAGTTGAAGACCGTCTTGACAGGTTCTTCTGCCAGGCGTTCCCAGCAGACCCTCACTATACGTTTGGGTCTGCCAGGTCTACGCGGCATGTTCCCTTGCCATCTGATCCAACTCACCACCAGGTGGTGATCAGTTGACAGCTCCGCCCCTCTCTTCACTCGGGTGTCCAAAACACACGGCCGCAGGTCAGATGATACGACTACAAAATCTATCATCGACCTGTGACCTAGGCTGCCCTGGTACCAAGTGTACCGGTGGGCATCCTTATGTTCGAACATGGTGTTCGTTATGGCCAAACTGCGGCTTGCACAGAAGTCCAATAACAAAACACCGCTCGAGTTCAGATTAGGTGGGCCGTTCCTCCCAATCACACCCCTCCAGGTCAAACTGTCATTGCCCACGTGAGCATTGAAGTCCCCCAGCAGGACAATGGTGTCTCCTGATGGAGCACTATCTAGCACTCGTCCCAGGGACTCCAAAAAGGGTGGGTACTCTGAACTGATATTTGGCCCATAAGCACAAACAACAGTCAGGACCCGTTCCCCGACCCGAAGGCGCAAGGAAGCTACCCTCTTGTCCCCCGGGGTAAACCCGGGACAAGATTCAACACTCTGCAGTACAGAAATCTGTGCAGTTGGCTGCGATAATTGGAGGTGACGGGTTTGGCGACATGACGACGGAAGACGTTAACAAGTTGTTGGACTGCCATTCTGAGCCGCTAACTGACGCAGACCTCGAAGACCTGACAAAATCAGCCAGTGAGGAAGAAGATGAACCACAGGAAGGGGCCCAAGAAGTTGAAGAAACAGGCTTGACATTAGAACGGCTTGCCAAGCTCTGCAACCTAGCGAAGGAGCTGAAAGAATTGTCACAAGAATGGGACGAGGATATGGTTCGTTCTCTGCAGTTCTGCAATAAAATTGATGAAAACATTGCTCCGTACAGGATGCTCTTGGATCAAAAAAAGAAGCAGCGGCAGCAACTTCCGATCACAATGTTCTTCCAGCCTCTCAAAACAGAGCCAGTTCCTCCTGAAGTTGAAGAGGTGTCCCAGGAAAAGACACCTCAGTCTGAAGAGACATAAAACATCATCAGCTTCATCATCATCATTTCTACTGTGCAGCAAATTCATCGCCATCATCATTCAAGTTTTTCTTCAACTTCTTACATGGTGAGTACAGTAACAATCTTTTTTTATATACTTTAATATTCTAACATTTTTATATTATTGCCTGTTTTAGATTAAGTGTTCTGTACATTAAAGGGTGGTTTGTTAACATTACTATGTGAAGGGAGGGTTTTAAAAGTCTGAATACCGAACGTACCTGTACTGTAAATATGGTGTCCCTACTTCGTGGATTTTCACCTATCGCGGCCAGGTCTGGAACGCATCTACCGCGATAAACGAGGGATTACTGTATAATATCTGGACCTAATAACACTGTAAGAATATACAACTATATTCCACTACAGGGGCATTGGATGGGAAACATATACACATTCAAGCACCACCACGCTCTGGAAGCCAGTATTTCAACTATAAAAAGACCTTCTCCATTGTGCTGCTGGCTCTGGTGGATGCAGACTACAGATTTCGGGTGATCCAGGTGGGGGACTTTGGAAGAAGCAGTGATGGAGCTGTCTACGCTGGCTCAGCACTGGGGATTGGAATGGAGAGAAGAACACTTCATGTGCCTCCCCATGCCCCCCTCCCTGGTGGTGCTGATGCTACCCCTGTGCCCCATGTCATGGTGGGGGATGCAGCTTTTCCACTGAAGCTGTACCTGATGAGGCCATACCCCGGGCATAATCTGACTCACAGGAAAAGAATCTTCAACAACAGGCTGTCAAGAGCACGTATGGTAGTTGAAAATGCATTTGGCATTCTTGCCTCTAGATGGAGGATTTTTTTTACAGGCGAATACACCTCCATCCTGACAAGGTGGACAGTGTTGTTCTTGCTGCATGCATTTTGCACAACTTCTTGATTGCACCAAGTGAGAACCAAGCAATCTTGGATGAGGCTAACCAACAGACCACACACATGGTGCCAGTGAGAGACATGGGTCCAAATCGGGCATCCAGAGAGGCTTGCAACATCAGGGAGATCTTTTGTGACTTTTTCATGTCTCCTGAGGGCAGTGTGGCTTGGAAGGACAGGATGGTGTGAAATGGGAAATAAGTCCTGCAGCTGAAACAATGTTGAGACACTGTGTAATCTAAATGTGTGCATCTTATTTTTTTTTAAAGTTCTCAACTGTGTCGTGATTTTTAAAACTGTTTGACCACAAATAAATGTGTGCATGTTTCCTAAATAAAAGTATTATTTAACTTTGTCATTCTTTCTGAATGTTTTTTGTTATAATAAGCCAAAGGGATTAAATAAGTGGGATACTCGAGGAAAGGGTTTTAGTTTTTTTCAGAATAGGGAAGTTTACACCTTTGTGAACAGTAGCATTTGCATTTAAAGCACACTACAGGGTACATTAAATTGCACATACAGCTATTTCTATTTCCTCACTGCTGAAAGCAGAACATAGGAGTTATTCTGGAGTGATGCTTTTAAGTATTTTATACAAAATATTCTATGTCAAACAAATGGACAATATTTTTCTAAAAATCTTTGCTACAACTATGACCATATACAGAAACTTATTCTGTAAGTAGTACACATATATATATCTTTAATACATGTATACTACTTGCTGAATATAATATAATTTATAGTATATTAATGTAAAACTATTATGCATTGCTGAAATTGTCCTATAACTGACAGAGGGGATTTTCATTCTAAGAATTTTTTTGGAAACTTTACAATACACGACCATGCATGTTACACGGTACTTACCAGTCATTTTTAAAACTTTGCCAATTTCTGCCCACGCACTGTCCTTCTTTTTGACATCATTGTAAAATGGATGCGTGGTGTCATACAATATTTTGTACTTTTCCACTTCAAGGATGAGCTTTTCCTCGTCCATCTGATCTTGCTCGCAAGTGTTTTTCTTCGGCCTTTTTCCCGTAACTCGAGTGATGTAGGTATCAAGAAAATGGCTTTCAAATTAAAAGATAAGTCGAAGATCGTGTAAGTCAATATTATGTGTAAACACGCAAAAAATGTTTTGAGACATATATGTATACATGTAATGGTCATTAGATAAAAATACCTGTGCATATGAACCAAAAAACGCTTGTTGTTTATTGATTTATTGTGAAATAACGGAAGCTGTGCTTGCTCCCTTTCCTGTTGGGCGGTTGTGATTCCTGTCCATTGACTGTGGAGGTGCTCCGGCGTCCGGCAAACATAGGATCGATTCTATTTTTGCCGGACGCCGGAACAGAGGGTGGCGCGCTGCGCCGCACTGCCGCAGCACGGCCGCAGTAGTGGAATTGCTCTGATTGACTACAACGGGACCGATTTTGGCGTTCGTGTCGGAGCGGAGAGGAGGTAGTGGAATTTGGGGGTAAGGCCTCCCCACCCAGGAGCTCAGTTTATTTTAACTGTCCTGATAGCCCTACCTATGTCCTCCATGTCAACTTTAAAATGCTCACTATCCTTACATTTCTCCCTCAGG